AAGTTTTGATGTAAAATAGAAGTTTAGTGTATACACAAAGTACGTCAACAATACGAGCAAAATTTACTGTAAAAGTTACTGATTCTCGCAATTGAACTTTAAAAATTTCAAAAACAACAAATTTAAAAATAAATATAAATAAACTTTTATAAAACTGACAAAATATTTTAAGAAAATCTTTCTTTGAATTTAGATGTTCCTTTAAATTATTTTAAACGAAAAAAATTTGTATTTTATTTTCCGAAAAGAATAATTTCATTTCAAAAAGGAAAATGAATTAAAATTTCTTTTTGACAACTAATTTTAAATATTTATATTGGGCGTGATATTTCCTTTCCAACTTTTTTACTGGAACATTTTTTTCTAAATTTTTATGAAAAATAAGAAAATACGTATTTTTTAATTTTTTTATTTGATAAAAATTGAGGAAGTTATGATTTTTTAAAATTTAACATCGTCAGGAGCCGAATACTTTTGAAATGCGTTTTTCTCTGTTCTTCTAACGAATAATATTAATATTATATATATAAAATTTGTTCGATTTTTTTTTCGGTATTTTTAATTTGTAGTAAAAAAATTAACGTAACTAAAACGGAAGCATCTTTTTTTATCCGTTAGTATAACAGAGAAAAACGTATTTCAAAAGTTTTCGGCTTCTGCGACGACGTTAAATTTAAAAAAATCATAACTTCCATAATTTTTATCAAATAAAAAAATAAAAAAATGCGTATATTCTTATTTTTCATAAAAATTTAGAAAAAAAATGTTCCAGTCAAAAAAAATTAAATTAAAATCTCACGTGAAATACCCCATATATTCAGTTTTACTAATTCATAATAAATGCTCTTTTCTGTCCTTTTTAATATATATATTCTCATATAAATTGCTCATTCAAATGGATTAAAAATTTGTCCATATTTGAAAAAATGTTATTTTCTATATATATATATATATATTGATATTTATATCCACGTCTTATTTTCAACAGAGAGCATTTTCCTTAAAAAAAATGAAATTACATTTTCAAACCATGATCCTTTAGCTGCATTCAAAATAGAAAAATATAGCTCCATAGAATTCACGATTTCCATTAGTTACAATTTGATTTTCTATATATGCATGAAAAATTTTCAATTGAAGATTCACCTACTGCATATGAAACAGAAAAGAACATTAAACGTACTTGTACTTTATCTTCCGTTCAAAACTATTTTCAATCGATCATATCCTCCGCAGTTTTCTTGTATCCGAAGAGGAAAATATAGTTATGAAAATATGGTTACGATTTCGCTTTTTCTGTATGAAAAATGTTCAATTCTTTCGGTTGCATACAATGTGAGTGCATCTTATATATTTTTTATCATCAAAATTCAAAAAAGTACACATTTGTTTTTAGAAACATTTTTTTTTTTTACTAAAATCTATATTTATTAAAAAAGGTACAATTTTTTTTATAATTAACATACTTTTCAGGTTAAGTAAATAACTCAATAATAATATAGCTATTTTAATCAGTAAACGTTTAGTGCCCTCTGAGGTGCGATTCTGTAACTTGACATCACCTTCACTTCATTTTCACACGATGTTCACTTCAATTTCACTCGATGTTAACTTCACTTTCATTTCACTTTACTTTCCTCGTCGTTCACTCAATTTTCACTTCACTTTCACTTCACTTTCTTTCAATTTTCAGTCGATTTTTACTTCACTTTCACTTTCACACGGTGTTCACTTCACCTTAATACACTTTTACTCCATTTTCACTCAATTTTCACTTTCCTTTCATTCTATTTTTACTCAATTTCACTTCACATTTACTCGAAAATCGAGCAAAAATAAAAGTGAAGTGAAAGTGAATTGAAAGTGTAGTGAAAGTAAATAGAAAGTGAAGTGAATATCAAGTGAAAGTGAAAGTAAAGAGAAAATGGAGTGAAAATCGAGTAAAAATGAAGTGAACATCGAGTGAAAGTGAAGTGAAGTGAACATCGTGTGAAAGTGAAGTGAAGATGGAGTGAAAGTGAAGTGAAGGTGACATGAAGGTGTTGTGAACATCGTGTGAAAGTATAGTGAAAATGAAGTGAAAGTAAAGTGAAATTAGTAGTGAAAGTGGAGTGAAAGTGAAGTGAAAGTGAATGTGATGTGAGGGTGAAGTCAAGTTACATAATTGCACTCCTATAATAAAACTATTAAACAATAATTACACCAAGCGTCAAGTTTCAACATATCAATATAAATATTTTATTAATTAAAAATTAGCTCTGAGTTTAATAGCCCCCGGGTGAATAAAATAGCCCCAATTGACTGTATAGTGATTATTAAATGAGTTCTGAAATAAATTTAAAAAAAACAAATAGATCTTATTTAACAACAAAATTGTAAGTTTTTCTTCATTAAATTTGTAAAAAAAATAAGATTAAAAAAAATTGCATTACAATATAATTATAGAAATTGAATTATATTTAATTATATCTGCGATGAACACGGAAATAAGTTCTTAACATAAGAAATTATCTAAAATTCTCGAAGAATTAGAACAGGATGCTAAATCGAGAAACAGCTTCCTAAAATAATTCGTTATATTCTTGGTATGGCCTACTATTTGAAATTGATTTTCAGATCAAACTCATTCGTCTTCTTTATTTGCTCTCTCTCTCTCTCTCTCTCTCTCTCTCTCTCTCCTTTTCTCATCAGAGCTTGCATATTAAATTCTAAAAGTTTCTATTTTCGAAACGTCCAATAATTTTTCCCTAAGTAATCAAATTTTCCAACAAATTATAAGAATGCCACATTTTTTTTTCTTTTCAAACTGTAAAATTAATAATATTACTAATTAAACTAATTAAATTTAATAAAATTGACGATTGATTATATGATGATCATTTTTAATTAAATAATAAATTATTAACTAAATCTTATAAAACGAAAATAAAGTTATATTCTTTCAGGAAATGTTGATTAATATTAATTGAATAAGCATTTTAAAATTTAATTATTATATTTTCGAAGAAAAAATTCTATTATTTCAAATTATGTTTAAACTTTAAATTAAAATTTATTTAAATATTATTATTTAATTTTTTTTATAAAAAATTTTGTTATTATATATTTTAAAGAAATTTTTAAAAATAGAACATTTTTTTAAATTTTGTTAATTAAATTTAAAAACAAACTTTTTTTCCAAAAATCATGAATTAACATTCTGTATTGAATTTATCTTTCTTTAATTAGAAAAAAAATTAACCAAAGTGATTAAATGGCAAAAAATTTTTTGAAAATTGATCAATTTTGCTTGAAAATTGTCACTGGGATGCTTTTGGGATCGCAGATTACGAATCTAGCATTAGATATTAAAATTATAAAATGGCGTATCAAATATGGCGGCCATTTATTTAAGTTCATCAGATTTGCTAGAAACTTGTTACTCGGTTTTTTTTTTTTTTTTTTTTTTAAGTTACTCTGTTCTTCTCTGAAAAAGTATTTTTTTGTAAAATAAACAAAATGAAGCAAGAAAACTGTGGTTTTGTTTCATTAAAAATTAATTCAGAACCGCCGCAAAAAAGTAACAATCAATTTTTCAAACGTCCGATATCCCTACTTTCCGTAGATTCATTTTTATACATTATTTTTAAGTGTAAAAAATACAAGAACTAAATAGCGACGCACCACGAGAAAAGGGACCTTATGATAAAAAAAATTTCTAGGATATTATGTTTCTGATTTTTAAATTGAAAATACACGAAAAAATCAACTCTCAATAAAAAATATTTATATGTTCAAGTCTTCATTACATTCAAAAAATTCAATAAAAACTATTTTTGATTTTATTTAATTAAATTTAGAAACTTTTTATCAATGAAAAACTATCACTGAACATAACCTTCATTTTTTCTTTACCGCAAGGTCCCTTTTCTCGTGGAGCGTCACAATTTTTCATTTTTTGAAATAAATACGTTTAAAAATAATAATAATAATAATATGGGACGCATGATTATATTCTAAAAATCATTAATTAGAATTTTCATTTTATGAAATTTCATTTATCATATAATTATTTTTAAGCCGAATTTTTATTTGTTCGAATTTTTATTTGTCAGAATTTTTATTTTCCCGAATTTTCATTTAACGGCTAGAATTTTATTGCATAAAATTTTCATTTGTTCGAATTATTATTTGATATAAATTCCATAAAACCGATTTTTCTGCAGAATTTTTACTTAAACCGAAAAATCATTTAACAAAATTTCTAATTGATAGAATTTTCATTTGTCCGAAATTGCAAATGACCGAACAAACAATCGATTTTGGCGCGATTTTTAAAATCAACCAATAACAATTTTATGGATAATTTTTGATTGGTTAATTTTAAAAATCACGCTGAAATCGACTGTTTGTTCGGTCATTTGCAACTTCCGACAAATGAAAATTCTATATCAATTAGAAATTCTGTTCTGTTCTATAGCGAATAAAAATTCTTTAAAATGCTTATTATGTTTAATGAAAATTCGAGAAAATAAAAATTCTGACAAATAAAAATTCGAACAAATAAAAATTGCGTGAATTGAATTTTCAGTTATATAAAAATTCTGTAATGTAGAAAATCGTTATGATGAAAATTCTGCAAAATACTAATTCGAACAAATAAAAATTCGGCTTAAAAATAATTATATATGACAAATGAAATTCGATAAAATGAAAATTCTAACTAATAATTTTTAGAACATAATCATGCTTTCCCAAAATTAAAGGATTGTTATTCCAAATTTGTAGTTTTCTGTTTTCTTTCTTTTTTTTTTCTTTTAAATCATCAATGATCGGGGATTGTGCCAACTTGGCAGTAAAACATATACATATATATATATATATATATATGTATAAAATTGGGTCACGATGGACACTCGATTTATGTATATACATATAGCTATAGGTCTAGTTTAGATATACCAAGAGCATATCACTGAGCCGGAAATGGCAATTAACCGCAGATTGATTTTGTCCCACAGAGATGTAAGAGGTTTCGAGTTGGGGAGAGATGCTGTGAATTTGAGTGCCTTGATGGAGTAGATGGAATAGATTGGACTGGTCCAGATTTGATCATTGCTGCTGGATCATCTAGACTTCAAGATCGAGGACTTTTGGGACTTTTTCTCATCATCTCTGTTTTAATGGCGCTTTAATAAAAATAATTTGCGTAATATGCCAAAAGTTAAGAGTATATATTACATTATATATATATATACCTCAATCTCAAATAGCACAAAAAAAGCTCATATTGGAGCAATAATTTTTTTTTCTCATTTTAGAAATATCGTTTAACAATTTTTTTTACAGTTACATATATTTATAAATTACAAATTGAGTAATTTAAATTTCATTTTTTTCTACAAAAATAATTTTTCAACAACTTTTTTTATTTTTAAATTTGATATTGTTTGATATAAAAACACAATAATTCAAATTTTTTATTTTGTGTTTATAAAATTCATAATTTTCAATTTCTTTTTTCATTTCTTTTGAATTTTTAAAATATTATTTCGAAAAAACTTTTTTTGGAAATTTTTTTTTTAATTTTTGTATTTTATACTTTTATATTAAATGGTGATATTAATTTATTTATATATTTTTGTAGTTTTAATTTATTTTCTAGTTTAATATTTTAAATTACAATTTGTAATTTTGTTAAACAAAATTTATTAATATAAATTTTTTGTTACAATAAACTAAAATTTATTTTAAATAAATAAATAATAATTTTTTTTCTTGATTTTTTTTTTTTGCAATTTTACTCAATTTTAATTTTATTAATTTTTAATTGATTGAGATCATCAATAGTAAATCATCAAAAGAAAATTAAAACATCCAAGAAACTTATTCTTCTTTTTTGAATTAAATATTTTAAAAAAATTTTCAAACGAAAAATTATTTACGAATTTAATAATCGAGAAACTAATTTTTTGCCTGACTCCTTGAATTTTTACTATATAGTTTTATTTTAATTAAAATTTTTATAAAATTTATAAATTTTAAAAAATTTTTCAAAAACTTTTGAAAAATCAAGGTACATTTATATTTTTTAAAATATTTATTTATTATATTTTATTATTACTATTATTTTATTTATTTATCTTTTTTTTTTTTTTTTTTTGAAAGAATATTGTTATCAATTGTAGATATTGTGAAAAATATTCATGATCTCTGTATAATCTTTCAACTTACTCGTAAAATATACTTCTATCCTAAAAAATTAGCTTTTTACAAAATAAAGCTTTTACCGTATTTTTGAACATTTAATATAATTATTCACTCTGGTATACAATTTATCTAGGCGTATTTAATTTAATAGAAACAAATTCAAGTTACCCAACTCTGATTTTGTAAACATTAAGACGAAAAAATGTTCATACAACATACGCTTAAATGCAAAAATGTCCATGAGAAAAAGGATGTACTCTTAATTTTAGAAAAAAAAAAGATTAGTGAAATTTATTATATAAGCAAATCTAGTTTAACAACAGAGAATAATTAACTTTTAGATAGAAATTTTGATGAAAGCTATAAAAAATCAGAAAATGATAAATTATTTTTATTATTTTTTTTTTTATTTAAATTAAAAATTATAATTTTTTTTTAAGGTAAAATAACTAATTTAATATATTTTTAAAAAAATTATTTATTAATAAATTATTTAAAATCGAGTAAATTAAAATTTAAAATAAAAATAATATTAAAAAATTAAAAAAAAAAATTTTTTAAATTAAAAAATTTCATTAAAATAAAAAAAAAATGCTATTGAAATATTTTTAACAATTATTAATTACAAGTAAAAACACGACTAAAGGACAATAAAACATTATTATTATGATAATGCGAATTTCATTTAAATAATTTTTTTTTTAAAAACATTTAATCAATTGATTATTGAAAAATAAAAATATATTATAAACTTCTGCATATTAATTAAATTAAATTAAATATATAATCAAAGGTGAAAAAAATTAATTAACAATTAAAAATAAAAATCGAAAAAAATAAAATTTTTAAACAATTTTAGATTCAATTTTTGCCTTAAATTTATAATATTACTTATCGTTGTATTTTTGTCGAGTTTTTACTTGTCAAACTATTATTTTATAAAGTTATTATTTAATAACGTTATAATATTTTATAAATATCGATGTAATATATTTTTAAATATTTTAATATATATTAGACACACATGATATTTAAATTTTTATTCTAAAATTTAATTTAAAAGAAAAAAAAATTACACGGCCTTGTTATTAAAATTTAGAAATTAAAAAGTTTATATTTTGAAAATTTACATTGTAAAAAAAATTTCGAAAAAAAATCTAGTTAATGAAATCAATATCCAATTTAATTTCTCCAAAGAAAAATTTTGTTTGGAAAAAAAAATGTTTTTAAAATATGTGATTGCGAAAAAAATAGATGAGCTGAAAATTTAGAAGAAAAGCATTGAAATTTTTTTGCTATATTTAAATTCTCATTCAATGGGACCCATTTTTAGTGCTTAAAAGTGATGGTGTGATAAAAAAAAAAAAAATACTGATATAGGTGCTGCGAAAGCTAAACATATATTAAATTAATTAAGTAACAAAAAAGCATTGTAATAAAATATAATTGGCTCGTCATGATAATGTAAAATATAAAATTAATATATATAACGATGCAAATATATTTATCTTTGTCGAGAATATAATAATAATTATTATTATTATAATAATATATCTTTCAATTGTTTCAATTTTATTCAAAGTATATTATATATAATATAAATCGCAAATATAAACTTGATATTTTCCATAAATTATATTACAGAGTTAGAAATTATGAGAACCAAATATTGTTATATAGAAATATAGAATTAATAATTCCATATCATATGTAAATTAGTGCCGAACATAAATTTTTTTTATTGTAAATTTTTCTTTCTTACAAAATATTTTCTAATAATAATAATAATAATAATAATAATAATAATAATAATAATAATAATAATAATAATATTAATTTTTTTTTTCTTTAAAAACAGATTTTATTAAAACTGCGTGTGATACATTATTATCGACATATTAAAAACGTTACTTTAAAAATTTTGTATTCAATGTTTTCTATATTTTACGAAATAATAAAAAAAAAGTGTGTGAAATTTTTATTATTTTTTTTTTTGTTTGAAATAAAATACTTTTTTTTATTTAGGAGAATAGAAAAACTGATTTATTGGAGTTTTTTAACTGTCTTCTAAATTATTCAAAATAAATTTTAAAAAAAGGGTAAATAAATTCAAAGAATAGAAAATATATTAAATGTATCACATGCTTTTAAAAGTAATATTACTTTTTTCTCAATCTCAAAAAAGGGTTTAAAATTTTAATTAATTTTTTTTTTTTTGAAATTAAAACAAAAAATAAATCTAATTGTATGTGAAACTTTGCTAACTTTTTCGAAGATCTTGAGCATCGATTTAAATTGCAAAGAAAGTGGTTTGTAATATTATATATATATATAAATACATATGTATATTGATAATTGCAGCGCTATATATAATATATATATATTTTATAATCGCAAAAAATCGTAATCGACCAAATTAATTGAGTTTCACTCGCCAAAAAAAAAGAATATTATATATATATATAAATATATTTATGAATAGTATAAATAATTTTGTGTTATTAAATTTGTAATATATTTCTGTGTTCTTCAACGTTAACACATATATATCATGAAAATTAGATAAAAAAAAAATCATTATTATCATCGAGGGGCCTTTTATGCATTAAAAAAAAGAAAGATCATTCAGTTGATTGTACATTAAAAAAAAAAAAATCTGTGTACAGAAACATTTAAAGAAAAAATATATATGTTATGATTGACATTGTCTTTTTAATTCTTTTTTTTTATTAACCTATCGCAGAGAAATATTTTGTAAAAAAATTTTTTAGTTTCTAATTTTTCTTTTATTATTTTTTTAAATTATTTTTTTGAAAATTTATTAGTATTTTAAAAATACAAAAATTTATTTACATATTTATATTGAATAAATTTTCCTTATTCACTAATTTATAATAACGAATATAAATATTGTTTTTATTAAAAAAATATGTGAAATTCTTTTTGTAGATTTTAAGAGAGTATTTCTGTTTAAAATTCGATAACCCTGAATTAATTTATTTAAAAATTTTTTTTTATGATTTTTTCCAAACAGTGTCATACAAGTCGGTGCGCCTTTGACGAGAAACTGGAATTTGTGATCTCACCTCTTCAATGACATTTAAATCTGTAAGTTTACAAATTGAAAATAAAATTCAATTAAAATTATTGGTGTTTTTAAATTTCTTATTTTGCATTCGTATATTTGTTAGAATTTTGTTCTACATAATTAAAATTTTGAAAATTTGCCTTAATTCGATTCTGGAATATTTAAAATAAATTTTCTTGACAATATTCTTATATGGAATTATTCTTATATTAAGAAATTAATAAAATGAATTCAATGTCTAAAAATATTAGTTATTTAAAATAAAATATTCATCAACTAATTAAATTTAAAAAAAAATAAATAAAAATTTTTTATTGTAATTAAAATAAAAAAAACCCGAGGCTTGTCTTTATTTTTTAACTCCCTTTTTTTAAATTAAATTATTGAGAAGGTATATTTATTTTTTTTTAATTTTTTAAAAATTAAAATGTTTTTTTTTTATGTTCTTACCTATGTCTTCAACTATCATGTCTTCTTTTTCCTCTAATTCTCGTAAAATAGTACCCCATGGATTAGTAAGTTGGGTATGTCCATAGGCAATGTATCCATCGCCTGTTCCTCTTGCTGGCGAAACACAAGCAACGTATAATTGATTATCATTTGCTCGTGAACGTTGCAGAAGTGTCCAATGTAGTACACCAGTTGTTAAATTAAAAGCTCCAGGATATATTAGCATTTGACAACCTGGGGAATTTTTTAAAAATATTACTCTGTTTACAATAATTATTAATATTTATATAAAATCAAAATGAACTTTTGAAGAATTTTACCATTTAAATATTATACAAAAAAAAAAAATTGTATTAAAAATTTCTATTATTTTCTTTTTTCTTTATTAAAAAAAGAATTTTCTTCAATTTTAACTCGAAATTTTTTGTATTAATATTAATTAATTATAATTTTGTACTATTTTTTTTTTTGGTTTAATAAAAACAAATTTTTTTGAATAATAAATTTTTTAAATAATAAAAATCAAAAAATAAAAGAAAATTAAATAAAAAGAGAAAAAAGTCTCAATGAAATTATGAAAAGTGAAATTTTCTAACAAATTTTAGATTTTTTTATTATGATAAAAAATGTTTAAATTATGGAAAAAAATCTATTTTTCTAAATTATTATCTGTAAATTTTTTTCTTTATATAAATACCTTGATTTCTATATACACGAGCTAATTCCTCAAATCTAAGGTCGTAACAAATACCAATTCCAATTTTACATCCTTTTGCCTCAAAAGTTGCTAAAGAATCACCAGGACTCAAGGTATCACTTTCTCGGAATGTTATTTTACCTTTGATATCAATATCGAATAAGTGGATCTAAAACATTATTTTATGGTTTTTAGAAAAATAATTAAATGTTTTTTTTTTAAATCATTTTTACGCCTTTTTGAAATTTGTAGAAAAAATTAATTTTAATTTTAATAATTTTCTATTAATTTTAATTACTTTAAAATCTACAATTTCAATTCAATGATATTTGTATTTTTATCTACAAATATAGTGAATTTTAGAAAGAAGAAGAAGAACATTTTAATTTAAAAAGCATATTTTAAATGTGTCGATATAATTAATTAGTTACATGCGCCTTTGTTTAAAATAAAAAATTTTCAGTACGAAAGTATTTTATTTTTTTTTTTATTTCTTTAACACACCTTTCTGTACTTTGCAATTAATTTTCCCTGTGGATTCCAAACAGTGGCAGTATTATACAATTTATCACCATCTCTTTCAGGAATTGTACCGCCAATAACATAAATTTCATTTCTTTTCGCAGCTTCTGATAATGCATTACATGTTTCGCCATTGGGAATTGTCTCCGCATATTTTGGAAAGTGTGCTAAATTATTTAAAAGAAAAAAAAGCAGACTATTATTTTTTTTTCTCTATTTAATTAAATATACGAGATATAAAAAAAAATAATAAACAGAAAAAAAAAGAAATGAAAATTATATTTAAATAAATAAAATTCTGTTTACTTTTTTTTTGTTGTAAATTATTACAAAAAATAAATTAAATAAATAAATAATAATTTATTTATTTAATAAATTTATTATATTATTATTTATTATTTTTTTATTTAATAAAAAAAAAAATTCCCATATGATGAGAATGTAAAACTATAATTTAATAATTTATAATATAATCAAGAACTTAATTTTAGAGTAAAACTTTTTTTTTTATAAGTAGATAATTTAATTTTATATACATGTTCCGTATGGAGAATTAAAACATTCTGGCAGAGTAACAATGTCAGCTCCCTTTTTTTTTGCTTCCTCGATAAATGAAATTGCTCTCCTTACATTTTCAGGTTTTTCATTTCCAACTGCAAGTTGAACCAATGCTAAGCGTAAATCTGTAAAAAGAACAATTATTATTATTAGTATTATTATTATTATTATTATTATTATTATTATTATTATTAATATTATTATTCAAATTAAATAATATTAAAGGCCAGTAAAATTTCAACCTATCGAAATTAATGTTCTTAAGAGGTGTCAAATTTTTTTTTCTCTGTTATTTTATTTAGGATCTAAAATTATTATATTATTATTAAAATTAAAAAAAAATAATTTTTGCCTATTTTGGAAATTTTATTTTTTGTAAAAATTAACAATTTTTAAAATCCATACGATTGATTGTTCAGAAAAATCATGAAAAAAGCGTATAAAAAATTCGGCGATGAAAAATAAGAGAAATTGTGAGAAAAATTCTTTAAATTTTCGATTTTTTTTAGTTTTATTTGAAAAAGTATTAACAAATTAATTGTTTTTTAATTTTTCATTATCAGGGTGTCTACTAAAAATCTGAATTAATATTCCAGGACTTTTCCAGGACTTTCCAGGACAAATTTCTTATTTTTCCAGGACATTAAATTGGACGACCATAAGGAATAAAAAAATTTTTTAGTTTAACTATTGTTTTCAGAAATTTAATTAAAAAAAACAATTTTAATAAATATTACAGAAACATTAATATACATTACATTACGTAACTTAAGTAAATTTTCATTTTATTTATTTAATTAATTTTTTTTTCAACTTAATTGACAAAATTATAAATATTTGAAAATTTAAAAGTAAAATATAAAAAATTCAAGGACAAAAATTAAAATTCCAGGACTTCCCCAGGACTAGTAGACACTTTGATTATAATTTTAAATACTCAATATTGTCAGAAAAAAAATTGACAATCCTAAGGAAAATTAATTTCAAAATAATTTAAAATAAAATATAAAAGAATGTCGAATATTCAAAGGTGATAACAATATTTTTATTTTTTCAACATTTTTAAATTGTTTTCCTTTTGTTTTTTTTTTTAGTCAAAATAGAAAGTAGAAGTAAGTATAAAATTTTTGAGTTATAACACCATTGAACTTGTCAGGAGATTGGACAAATTCAATTTTCGAATTTTCAATGAATTAATTTTTGAATCAAATCAGAAACTTTTTTTTTATTATTGAACATTATTATTAAAAATTCTATTCTATTATTCAAAATTCTATTTTAATATGAAATTTTAATTGAAATCTTTTAATAATTATTACAGATCTTGTATATTATCTGTTTATGTATACATATATATATTAGTCAAAATTCGTATTAATTTAAAATCAAATATCTGATGAGGGCTGAATTAATTACCGAAACATTTAGTAAAATTAATCTAAATGAATAAACGAAGACCTTGAAATGTTTATTATCAATAATATATTACTTAATTAATTATTCATGGCTCGAGTAATTAAAAGACTATTTTAAAATCGAAAAAATCATTTAAAATCACAAAAATCCGATTGAATTTTTTTTTTACTCTTTTTTTTAAATAAATGTCTGTTTTAGTAAAAAAAACAATAAATTTTTGTAATTTAGTAATTACAGACTCAATATTTTGGAGTAATTATAAAAATTGGAAATTTATGTTTTACATATAATGTCATGAATATAAAAACCAAAAGAAGAGTTTTTTTTTAAATAAACAAATTTTAGTTAATAATAAATTACGTACTTGACATTATTCGTTTTGTGATATTATTTTGCAGCATATCACTGAGGTTATGTTAGTTTTTATATACTCGAACTCAGAGCAACGTTTGCCACGTTTTTATATACCATTCTGTAATCGCATGGTCTGTGGTCAGGAAACAAATCTCGTGACTTTCTTGTCTAAATATATAACAATGATAACGATTTTTTAATGCAAATAATTTAAACAGTTTTTAAGAGTTCAATATTTAACAAGCAATAAAATCTTTTATTATATTTAACATGTTTATAAATTTCTCTTTTTTTTAGTGAAAAACTAAATAAAAAATAAAGAATACAATTTTTTTATGATTCTTATTTTTTATTTAATTTTTCACAAAAAAATGATTCGGAGAAATTGATAATTTTATATTAAAAATAATTAATAACATCGAGTGATAAATTTTTCAAAATTTAAAAAAATGTTTAATATTTACAATTAATTCAATTTTACAAAATTTTAAAGAAACTTTTTTTCAACTACAATTTAAATTTATAATTTAAATTTTTATTTAAATTATAGTTTTCATTATAATTATAATTTTTCATAGTTAAAAGTATTTTCAAATTATTTTCATTTTTTTTTCCTACGAAAAATTTAAATAAAATAAATTTGGATATTTTATGAAAAAAAAAAAATTCATGTATAAAAAATAAGGTTTATTAAAAAAGAAAAATAAAACGCATAACAAAATTTTAAATTTACACCATTTTTGGAAAAATTACACTTTTCTTATGTCTTAATAAATTTAAAACTTGATAAGTATTCGAAAATTTTTCAAAAATTGTAAATTACAGGCACGTATTTTTCGAATTTACATAGAAAAAAAATTATTGCGTTTATTTTGTTCGGAAACACAAAAATATTTTGTGAAAATGAACTTGTAGATTCTTATAAAAAATAAGAAGATAGAAATAATTTATTAATATTATCAATTATCCAATTGTCAACGATATTAAATAAATTTCATTATGAAATTTTTCTTATTTTTAAAGAATATTGATTTAAATTTAATTTGTCAAAGAACTAAAATTCCAATTTTCTGTTTTATCAAAATTGATTTTCAAAAAAATTTAAGAACTTAATGCCAAAATAAATATATAGTACAATTATCGCCTTCTAGGTGAACGCGATCGAGATCTTCTATGTTTGTATTTATCAATTTTTGGTGAATCTCTATTTCTTTCTTTATGTTTTCTTTTATTTCTATTCGATTTTTCTGAAGAATTATCTCGCGATTTGTGTTTTTTTGTTTTCTTTGATTTCCTTCGTCTATGATCGGAATCACTGTCATCTGAATATTTTCTTCTTCGTGATCTTCTATCCGATTCTGAATCATCATTATCATCATTGTCATCACTTGAGTATCGTTTATGTTTCTTTGATTTCTTTCGATCACGTGATTTTTCATATTTTTCTCTTCCTCGTTTTCTATTGTCATCGCCACTACTTTCACTATTCATTCGATTCTCAGTGATAGAATTTTCATTTTTTTTCTCTTTATTTTTAAATTCCTCATATTTTTTTGAATCTAAAATCATTTTATTAAAATATTAAACGCTACGCCTGCGAGGTAATTAAAATTTCTTAAATATCTCAAGGGACCTTTAAATAGAAATGAAATTTTCTAACAAATGTCGACAAGATGTTTTTTTTTCAGAATTGCCATAAAATTTTTATTTTAATTTTCCCTGACTACCAGACAATATTTTTTGTTTTTCCCTGACATTTTCAAATCTTGTGGCAATTCCGTTTTTTTTTTTTTGTAATCGGACTGGTTAGATAATTTTCTCTACTTTTTCAATTAAATTCAATTTCATGATTGATTGATCTAATTAAAAGTCCCTGGATTGTGTATGATTATTAATCTGAAAATACTCACTTAGCACTTTTGAATATTTATCGAATTCATTTTTCGTAACTGGATGAACTAATGATTCGTTGATTGAAATAATATTTCCTCCCAGTGCCAATTTAATCATTAATCGTCCACCGTCATCGTCAAGTCCTTCGATTTGTCCATAGTTACCCGATTGTTTGCCAGTAATTATTTTAACGAAAGCCCCTTTAACTAGTTTCAAATTTCCTTCTTCAGCCAATTTTGATGCGGCTATTTGTTTTTGTATTTGCATTTTATCCGCTCCTAAACCCATTCCTCGTGGTCTTAATTCTGGAATTACTGCTGATACAATTCTGTAAAATAGAAATTATTTTATTTACAATTACAATTTTTTTTCTTTTTAAAATATTTCTAAGTGTAAAAAAAGACATACTTTTCATTTTTACCAATTCCCTTTCCTGGTTGCCATCCCATTCCTCGTAACATTGCTTCCCCAAATTTGTCAATTGGTATTTGTTCATAGTCCTCAAGTGTTGACTGTAAAATGTAAATATGTATTTATAATAATAACAATTTCATTCTAATTTATTAATTAATTACAATTATTCCTTTTTTTTAATATTTTCTATTTTTATATTTTTAAAAAATATATTTTTTTCTTTCTATAATTGAAAAAAAAGACTCACTTCTTGTTTTCCCACTAAAGAATCATCAGCGGGTAAAGGAACAGCGGAAATTTCTTTTGTTGTTTCTTGTTCTTGTTTTAGATCCTGTAGAATTTCGGCTGCTGCTTGTTCCTCTAAAGTTTTAACAGATTCATCATCGGGTTTTTCTTGTTTTACAATTACAATTTCCATTGGTTGAGAAATATTTGTTTCAAGTACAGCACTATTCTCATTAACATTGTCAATAATTTCTTGTTTAATATTCTCATTAATTGCATTTCCATTTGTAACTGTTTCAACTTTTGGCTCGTAAATATCGGCGTTAACTTTATTTAAAATTCGATCGTGCCATGTTTTTGATCCCAACATAGGAATTACAAGAGGTTCATCTTTTTTCTCCTCTCCACTATTGCAAAAAATAAAAATTTATTTAAAAACTATATTTTATAATTTTTATCATTTAATTATTAAAAAGAATATTTTAAATTTAATCGCTTTTTATTTAATCAAAAGTGAAACAAATTTTTAAAAGTTACATTATATTTTATATGTTAGAAAAAAAAAACTATTCCTATAGTAAAGAAAATGATTTAAAATGAAAATTTTTTAATTGCGTTATAGAATTTTAATTCTCTAGACCTTATATTTTATTTAGTCTATTATTTTGTTTTTTTTTTAAAAATTTTATTTTAATAAACGTTCTATTAAAGTAATTAGATTCCTAATAATATATAAAATTCTAATCTTTTCGAAATAAAAATTGCGACTACGTTATTTGCGTCAATATTATTATTATGTTCTTTTTTTTATTCAATTTAAAATTATTTTTTCTATTACTGCATAAATTTTGAATTGAATTCTTAGTTTTTATTTTTGTTTTTATTTTTTTAAAAATTTAATGAAATAAAATACCTATTTTCCTCGTTTTCTAATAAATACAAATGAAATCATCAGAGTATTTATAGGTTAGAACCCGATTGAGGTTATGTTTTGCCAAACATTAATTATATTATATGCATATAAATATTTTTAAATACTTACCCGACAACTTTAATTGATTTTTCATCCAAGCATTCAATGTAATCAACTTTTTTCTCTGGTTGAGGATTTTTATTTAAAACAGGCTTTTTTATTGACTTTGAAAAGCCAAATGAAATTTTCTTTTCTACGCCTTCTCCACTTGCCATTGTTGTGTTTTTCTTTAAAATTACAGTAAATTAAGAATTGACACTTTATTTATATATCATTTACAAAATAAAAAAAAACATTATTAAATTAGATAATATTTCAATATTATAAAGTCGTATTATAAACGTTTTTCAAACACTTGAGCAATGTAAACACCTACACAAACGAACTCACACATCTATGTTTGACAGCTCATGAACACTTAGTTCTTTAAATTCTCGCTAGAGTGCGCACTGAAAATTTGGCGCTAAATTAAAAATATGAATAGTAAACACAACATAGTTTTTTGTTCTATGCTTTAAGAGTGATGTTTGTTATTGTTTGTATTGTTTATGTAATTTATTAAAAATAGTGAATTATTAGAAAAGTGAGACAATAGAATGATTTATTGAAACATTGAAAGTTTCATGTAACGTTGGAGCAGACGAAAATTTCACAATAACGCACTTTTCTTGTAATAAAATAAATATGAATAAATATTGAGGTTATGTTATTGTTTTTGTATATTATTTAATAAACAATGGGCATATTAAGTTTGAAGAAGAAAGGTCCAAGACCGCATTCAAGAAAAAACATTTTTGTTAAGAAGTAAGTCACTGTCTTGTAAACAATTATAAAAATTGATATTCTCACTTTTTATTTATTTATTTACATATATACGGGTAATTATTATTTTATTTCCTTAAATTTAATAATTAATAACAATAAATTCCTATAGTCAGGCCTCGGATTAGACGTATTTTTCGATTTTTTTTTCTCGAAAATACCGTGGATATCCCAGTTACCGTCCACCTAAGACCTAGTTTCCGTCCAGTTTAATTTTCAAAATAACATTTATAAAAAAATTATTTTCTTTTATTTGTTTACTTTAACTAATAAGTCGATTGCGTGCCAAAAGGAATAAATTATTGTTAAAAAATAATTTAAATTACTATACGAGATATTTGTAAAATGGACGGAAACATGGACATGGACGGTAACTGGTACATCCACGGTACAACTTTTTTCTACTTATTTTAATAAGATGCGACTTTTATTCATTTTTTTTTACAAAATTTTTAAACAAAAATGTATTTTTTAGTAAAAAATGCAGATATTTATTATAATTAATTTAAAAAATTTTTAACTAAAATTCTTCTCTAAATTAATTATTTTCAATAATTGTAATGAAATTCTTCCCAAATTCAATTATCTTAAACTGTTTGTTAATTAAAAAATGTTCAGAAATGCAAATAGGGTCAGCTGGGGTAAATGGGGGCCAAATCGCTATTTTTCACAAATTACGTAAGTTTCTTCCTTTGAAAAGTAATATTTGCGGGTTTATTTTTTTTAAGTTGTTATTTAAGTTCCCAGGATTAATTTTATGCATCAGAAAAAAATTTAGATAAGCTTTAAAGCTTTAAACGCATGAAACTGACTGTACCCATTTACCCCAAAATTTAGAAAATTTCATAAAATTTGGGGTAAATGGGGACAGCATAGTTTCTAAGAAAACTTTAAGAAAAAAGTTTTCTTAAGTATATATTACTGTATTAAGGGATGAAAAAACTTGAAAAAAATTTCTAGAAGATATATAATAGTTGAACCAAATAAAAAAAAATTACAACAAATTTTAATTTAGAATCACTCGAAATTCTTATATTTTTAAAAATTTCAATTTTAAACCTTCTAAAATTTAATTATTTTCTAAACATTTTTGATCTTTTTCATATTTCAGTCCATATTTTCCATATTTTCAAAAACATGGATTGTGAAATCTTAAAAATTCAATTACGTTTAAAAAAGGTCCTTAAAAATTTTTTGATAAATAAAACATTATAATTAATAAAAAAAATATTAAGTTTAACCCCAAATTAATTAGAAAAACACACCTAGTATAATCCCCTCCCTACTGAAAATTCTCATGTAGGATCTTATATAAGATCACACATAAATTCAATTTTTCTTAGGCAGACTATTTTATTGCAATTTCTTGCACAAAATACACCTAAAAGTGTAGAAAAAAATTACCAGCCCGATCCGAGTAGAGGAAGACCAAAATTAAGACCAAAAACGCTACCCACGTCATAAAAAGTTTCCAAAAAAATTCAATTTTTCTTAGGCAGACTATTTTATTGCAATTTCTTGCACAAAGTACACCTAAAAGTGTAGGATATAATTGACACATCGATACAAGTTGTAGAAAGCTTTTATTCCCACTCTTATGTCAATTTTTTATTTATATTTTTGATTTAATTTTTGTTTTAGGGGTGTTTCCCCTACTTGTATCGGGGTTTCAATTTTTTCTACATTTTTATTTTTAGTTTTGTACGATAGTTTGCTATAAAATAGTGTGTTTAATGAAATTTTAATTTTTTTGAAAATTTTCAATTTGTTTTGTTTGTTTTAGAGATATTCCTATCGGCACAACTTACCTCTGGCACGTTCAGCCCCAGTTGCCCCTGTTTGGGGTTGAACTTAATTTTTTTTTGTAATTTTTTGTTGTGTTTATGCAGTATTTTGGTTTTTAAAATTTTGATGATCGTGATCTTTGTGAACTGCGCCGATCTTTTTTCTGTTTAATAAAATCTTTTGAATTGAAATTATTTTTCAAAATTTGTAACTGTAACTCGTCTAAAATTTAATTAACTGTATTAATAATTTCTTCTATAGGCGTAGAGAAAAGAAGAGAAAGAAAGAAGAAGAAGAGAAATTGAAAAAACAAAATTCATTTGTTATAAAAAATGAGGCATTAGATGAAGACTATTCGATATTTATGACAGCTATTAAATCTGAACAATGTTTAAATTTAAATAGTGATTCATTAATATTCGATTTTCCCGAATTTACGTTTGTTGATGTTAAACAAAAATCGGAAGAATATAAAAAAATTAATGACATTCATATTAAGGAGGAAATTGAAATTAAAACTGAATTGTCTGACACTGACAATTTTTACGATGAAATTATTGAAGAGACTATTGAAATTCCTGTAATAGTGGATTCAAAAAATTCTTCTTTCTTCGAATAATTATTCAGAATGGTGAATATTTATTGAAATAAAAATTATTGTAATAAACAAAGCTACTTATTATTTATTAATAAATTTATTACAATAAATAGTATATAATTATCATAATTATATTAATTATAATTTCCTTGGTTATAGAAAATGTATTGAGATATGAAGAAATTGATTAATCAGATGTCGAAGAAGCACGACGAAAAGAAAAAATACCGCTGCACGGTAATATCGGAAGATGTGATGCTTCGAATTGCAGAAAAGGGCTGAAGCGAGGGTCAGAGATTTTCTGTAATAATTTTTATTTTTATAAATTATGTTAAATTTGTACAGCGTTTTGTAAAAAAAAATAAATTATATTTTATACTAGTAATATATAATTCTATCATTCCTTTAATTAATAAATATTATAATTAATTATCTATTAAAAGTAGTTAATTAAGAAATAAATTTACAATTAAAAATTAATGTAATTAATTACCTGATAACTTATCAAAACTTGTTAATTAATAATTACTAATTAGTGGGCATATTACAGTATTTTTAAAAAAATATTTTTTACAAAGCTTTGCAAATCTTATTTAGAGGTAGGATTTGAAAAAATAATTTAAGAAAACAAAAATTATGTTTCGTTCTGCATGAGATGGAATGACAGAATTACAAATTCAATGTTCACATGACAATTTTTTTTATCGTAGAAAACAACGGTTCTTGTAATGTAGAAAGGTATAAGTGTGTTATAAACGAATCAAATACTCCTATGTAAATGTAATAGTTTGAATGACTAAAGCTTCAGTTGTCCCGAGTACTTTGAAGAGTGAAGATGGTTAGAAATTTGTTAATAATAAGGTAAATTGTTAATTTCATGTTATAATAATGTAAAACCCTATTTTTTTTAGCAAATTAAAATTTTTTCTACACAATTTGATTTTGAAATTACACAAATTAATTTTGAATTCTACAAAATAAATAAAAAAATTTCTTAAATCAAGTTTTTTGAAAATTAATTATTGCCTATCACTGATATAAAACTTTTCTACGAATTATTTTAATTATTTATTTAATAAAAATAATAAAAAAAATATATTAATAAAAAATAAGAATAAAAATAATAATTATGTATTAATATAATTTATATAATATAATATATATAGTAATTATTTAATTATTACGTTCTTTCAAATAATTATTTACATTTAATGTTTACTTTACAGTAAAGTTAGAAAATTTTTATTAACATTTTCAAAATATTTGTATTAGTTATTTAGTTATTAAATTAAAAATTAAATTAAATTTCAATTTATTATTAAATTTATCAAATAAAAGATTTACATTTTTCAAGTTGTAATGTATAATAATAATAAAAAAACAGAAAATTATTTAATCATCTCATTGTAAGACGAAAAAGTACAAAAATTCTTCAAACGAAAATAGAAAAAAAAATAAAATTTGTCGGTTTGAAAATAAATAAATAAAAAAATTTAGAATTTAAAAATTTATAAATTTAAGGGAAATTTAAAAGTGACGATTAAATTTGAAATTTCATTTTTTCCAAAAAAAAGAGATAATAATCTTTTACGAAAAATTTGTTAAAAATAAACTGATATTTAATTTTTATTATTTAAAGAAAAAAATTAATTTATTTTTTTTTTTTAAATAAAGCAGTTTTCAAAAAAAATGTATTTGTTAACTTAGAAAATTATCAAGAAGCAGTTTCTAACTGTAAAGACGTGGACATAACTGTGTGAGCGATCCAGATAACGACAGGACATCGAATCCTGCGAGGATTCGTTCCGCTATCGTGATAACCAGTCAGACTACAATCATGTCTTTCACATTGCATACAATGTGAGTAACCTCTTGATGACTATGTAATTCATGTATATGAACGATCATTGAACCATTTTCAAATATTTTTCAGGTGCACTGTATTTTTTCTTGCCCTCTTAAAAATGGAATAAAAAAAAAAAAAATTTCTATAAAAAAAATGTCATGTTAAAATTTACACAAAAAACTAATGCAATAGAAAATTTAATACTTTTAAGCAATTTGTTTATAATTTTAAGATATTTTCGTAATTTTTTTTTAACAAATTTTTTAAGATCTATAGTAAACTAGGACGAAAAAAAATTAATTGAAAAGAAAATTTAAAAAAATAGCTAAATATAGTAAAGAAAAATTATTTTCGTTTTTTTTCGGTGATTTGTAATATGAAATATGAATTAAGAAAAAAAAATTTTAGAATTGATTTATATTTGAGTTAATTTTTTGTGATACATGTAAATGACCAAACAAATAATAATTGCGGAAAGACCGGATTCAGGGTAGGGCGGAACTGAATATAATAGTACGGAAGCGACGGGGAAATTATATTTGTTATGGAGAATTGGAGTGCTGTCCACACGGGTCGGATATTCGTATGACCAGATGTCCAAAGCCGATGAGATCTAACACCGGAAGGAATACACCAGAATAATTATTCTTTTACGAATTTCTCTATATTCTATGTTGAATATAATATATAGTTTTCGATGAAAATTTTAACATGACATATTTCAATATCAAATAATTCTCCATTTTAACATATAGTGAAATTAATATTAAAATATTAATCATTTGAATCAATTTTTTTTTATCATATTTCCAAGTAACAAAACCCTTCAATTAATTTTATAATAATTGTTATTTCGTACGAATTTTTATTTTTTCGAAATTACAAATGACCGAATAAACAATCGATAGAAAGATTTCGACGTAATTTTCAAAAATTGAGCAATTAAAAATTATCAAGAAAATCATGATTGGTCAATTTTACAAAACAGCTTCGAAATCTTTCTGTCGATTGTTTGCTCGGTCATTTGTAATTTCGGACAAATGAAAATACGGCGTCTTAAAATTTCGGAAAAATATTAAATTCGATGAATTGGAATTTCTACCATTTAAATAAAATTGAATCACATAAAATTCAATTGAATGAGAATTATGTTAAATTAATTTTTTTTTTAAATAAAAAGTTATGTTAATTTAATAACTATAAAATAAAAATTCAACCGAACAAAAAATGGTAGCTAAAAATCTTCTATTATATTAAGTTAACAAATTTCCAAAAACGACACCGACCCCGTGACCTCGACACCGTCCTTGGAAAATCTATTTTCACTTATTTTTAAATAAATCAAAATCAACTTTGCCATATGCTTTTAGAAAATTTTACATACTTTTTTTTGTAACATGTTTTTTCAATTTTAACCCGAAAAAGGGTTATTTTGCATTTTCATCCCAAAAAAGGGTTATTTTGCAATTTTTTACGAATTTTTGGATATTACCTTTAAAATTCCTCTATTTTTAAAAATTTACATATAAACAATTTTTTTCAATTTTTTATGGTTTTTTAAAATTATTTATTGTTGTTTTTTAAATTTTTAGTTAGGAACCTATAATATTGTGCTTAATTTTGTAAAATTAAGATAAATTTTATACAATATTAATAAGATATTAATTTAAAATATAAATTATATATAATATACATAAACTACAATAAGTAAACAACAATAAGTACAACTATAACCGAGCGAGCGAGAAATACATCGCTAGTTTTGTATAAAAATAAAGTCTGTTAAATGCTAATTCGAATAATGAAAATTCATCTGAAATATAGTTATTTGTTATTTCTAATAAAATAGGAAATAATAGGAAAAGAAGAAATCCAATATGGCAGAAGAATTTTTTTTAAATTGATCGGATTTGCTTGAAAATCGTCACTTGGGGTTTTTTCTTTTGGGTCGCTGATTACGAATCTAATGTCAGTTTTTAAAAATTCAAAAAAACGGATCCAACATAGAAGAATTTTTTATTGAATCAACAGATTCAAAAGTAATAGTAAAACTGATAATAAAATTCATAAGAGAAATTATATTGTACTTATTCATTAGCAACATTATTTTCTTATTTTTTCGTCTTTCAATCCTGCAACTACCCCAATCGTCAGAATGTATAAAAATTTATCCTTCTGCAGCAATAATTTTTGTTTTTTTTTTAATATTTCTCTTTACATGCCGTTGATTTGAAGGGAATAATTATACTTGAAAAACTAAATAAATTAATAATAATCAATAACATATTAAATATTGTTACCTTCAATAAGATTACAACAATTTGTTCTATTAAATAATTTTTGTGACGGTCTTTGGTTGACAAAATTTGTCGAAAAATTTTTTTCAAGTCAGTTCTCAAATACTAACAAAGAAATATAGTTCAAAAATCCGTATAGTAATTCTTGACACAATCGTGTGTGGTAAATTGAAAATTAAAATTTTTTTTCATTCATTGTTCATTTTATAGATTGCACATGATTGTGCTATCAAGGTTAACGATGACCTTGACGTTGACGATTGAAGCAAGAGGATCCGGTGTTGGTAAAGCGTGGGATGTTTCACCATCGCTACAGCCTAATTCTCATCGACTTCCCTGGCCTCGTACGGAAACCTCTCCCTTGGAAATTCGCACAATCAGTGGAGTGGGACGATTACCTCAACAATTCAAGGACAATTTTCCAATTAAACAGGAAACAGAGGACACGGATTTAATGAATCGACCGCTAATGAAAGATGACGATGTTGATGAAATTAATTTTGAAAGACAAGAACGGAAGCTTTCTCCCTATCTTCGAAGAATGGACAATATAAAACTCGAAGAACTTCTTTCCGATGAGGATAAATTCGAATACAGTGTATTTACAGAAGCAGGTATGTTCTTTTTGTCGAAAATTATTTTTTTTTAAATAATATACGAAAAAAAAAAAATTTCAGTGCCTCGTGTTCGTCGTGATCTAGAACCAAAAATGGAACAAATATCAGCGTCAAAAAGTGTTCGTGAAGCACGTCTTAATTCACCAGAATCATGGTCAAAACAACCAATTGCCATTGAATTTCGTCATCGTACACCATTACATCAAGTATTGCCTGAAAATCAAGAGATTCCTATTTCAACAAGAAGAAGTCATATGCCACAAACCGATTTTATCACCAGTAATCGAAGATATTTTGCCGAAAGTCGAGAATCCCGTGAAATGCCAGTTGCAAGAACCTATGACGACTATGATGTACCAATTTATTCAAATCATGACAGAAACTATGATTCATATTCACATGGCTATTATTATCCAAATCGTTATAGAACCGAGAGAGACTATCGATATCGTGGAGAATCAATGCCACCACCACAACAACCACCGTCACCATACTACGATCAATATCCAATGAATAATTTTGAATCCTACGAGAGAAATAGAATTCCCACAAAACAAAAAAGAATTATTTATTATGCAACATTACCGGAAATTGTGAGAAAACCCGAAATTAACAACAATTATCCAAGACCCTATGATGGACCACCGAGAATTCCACCGGGTTTATCGGTTTCTCGAAATTCATTAGGTGGTCAAAAATATCATCGAGAACAAAGTATGCGACCTTTCTTTAGATATCCTTATGATAATTATGATTTTGATGGTTACAAGAGGCCAGCGTTTTATGATAGAAATGATCCATATCATAAGGATAGTGGACATCGAAATGATCATTATAATAAGGAAAATGGACATCGAACACCATCTGATCGAGATTTAGTGCCAACACATAAGGAAAATTTAAGAAGAGATGATGATTTGAATATTGGTCAAGAGAGAAAGACAAGGGACAATCAGGATCTACCATGGCCCGTTCAAATTGGAACTGAAGTTAATGTTAAGGAACACGAGAGGATACCGGGAAGAAAGATTTTTGGACAGTCACAAAATTTTGATAGGTATGAAAGTGCTCCACTGAAACAGGCTCCAAATGAACCTGATAAAATTGTAGAACATAGTTCTTAGAATAATTTTTGCCAAATTAGGGGAACATGGGACAGAATAGGAATAGTAACGTTCAATGAAATTTTTCCAATTTAAATTAGTACCAAATTTGCCTAAAATGATAAAATACACCCATTCTGATCTCCAAAAGAATCTTTGTAATGAAATAAATTTTGTTTAGTTACAGTTTAACATTTTCTAACCTATAATAGCTCAGTTTGTTTGTAAAAGAATACACTTCCGCAAGGTTAAATTACTTTTTACATTAAACTAAGATTTACAAGGTTTACTTCGTTTTTAAAATCAGCAAAACATTTGAATTAGGATTCAATCTGAACTGAATGTGTGAAATTTTTGTTGTGAGTTGTCAGAATCAGCTGCTTTGATCAAAATTACACCACCTTATTTTATTAACACTGTAGACTGTAGCAAGAAGACTAGAACCAGGAGGGGAAACTCCGTTGTAAAGATGCGGCGTGACAAACAAGCCACTAGAAGGCGTGGCTTATCGTTCGTGCATTGCTATTCAGACGAATTTCAGTGTTCTGCGCATACTTTCTTGACACTGATATTTGAAATGTAGCAGACGCTGTTTTTAAGTTTCTGTTTATGCGGTTATGGCAAATGGTTTACCCATAAATTTTTTGATGCGATTATATTTAATTAATTATATGTAACTAGCAAAATTAAACGCGCGCAAGCGCGCCAAATTGAGTGTTTAATTGTTTGTTATAAAGAAATTAAAGATTAATATTATCAATAATAATTTAATTTATTAGAATATTATTACATATTAAATGATAATAATGAAAATTATATGTTTACAAGCCTCGGATTATACGACTTTTTCTGACTTTTTTCAAAAATAAGACTTTTATCGACTTCTTTTAATAAAATGCGACATTTTTTTTAACATTTGAAAGAAATGTAAATAAAATACATTTTTCTAGTATAAAATGTAGATCTTCATCATATCTTCTTCAATTAAATTATTTAACAAATTTTAAACTAAAATGATTCTTCACTACATTAATTAATTTTAATAATTTTAATGAAATACATCACAAATTCAATTATATCAAAATTATTTTTCAATTAAAATTTTTATGAAATTTAACAATTGTTTATAATTTTTAAAAAAAAATATCACAATAAAATTTAATTATTTTTTAAAAATTTCAATTCAAAATAAACTAAAATTCAATTATTACCCAAAATTTTTATTCAAAATCAATTAAAAATCCAATAATTATACAAAATTTTCAATTTAAAATTTAATTATTTACCAAGTTTTCAATTTAAAATGAAATAAAATTCAATTATTTTCTAAAATTTCTATTCAAAATTAATTAACCAAATTTTCAATCAAAAATGAACTTAAATTAAATTATTATCCAAAATTTCAATTAAAATTTAATTATTTACCAAGTTTTCAATTTAAAATGAAATAAAGTTCAATTATTTTCTAAAATTTCTATTCAAAATTAATTATCCAAATTTTCAATCAAAAATGAACTTCAATTAAATTATTATCCAAAATTTCAATTAAAATTCAATTATTTCCCAAAAATTTTCAATTTAAAATCAAATATAATTTCATTATTCTCAAAAATTGGAATTCAAAATTAATTGAATTTTCAATAATTTGAATTTAAAAGCATCTAAAATTTAATTATTTCTAAAATTTTACATCGAAATTTTTTTTTTTTTGAAATTTCATAATTTCAATTATAACTCTAAGGAAATTCAATTATTTTTAACTATTTTAATAATATTCTTTGAAAATTCAACTATCTGAAACCATTTTTCAAATTATTGTATTTTGTCCGCATTTTCTAATAAATTTTTAGTGAAATCATCTAAAATTTTAATTACAAAACACTTAAAGTTTCAATTAATTTCAAAAATCTCAATTTTAAATATTTGAAAATTCAATTAAATTTAAAAAATGTTTTCCAAAAATTGTTTGATAAATTATTTTCAGTTCTGGAAAATTTAATAATTGTTTGAAAATTAACAATATCTTTGAAATTTAATTATTTCTAAAAATTTCAATTTTAACCCTTCGAAAAGGATTATTATTAAAAAAAAAAAAAATTTTATTTAAAAATCTGTAAAATATTTTTGTTAAAATAAAAAACAAATCCACTTTTTTTTGGAATATAAATCGACTAAAACGACTTTTTTGTGTCTTTAAGTTGATTCGAGGCCTGTGTTTTTATAATTATTATTTAATAGGTATTCGTTGGCACCTGGTACCTTAAAAATTAATTTTTAAAAATAAATGTTTTTCAAATTACTATCTTATACGAAATTTCCTGGCGCATCTTTTTTCTCATCATACATTTTTTGTACAATTTTTGAATCAATATACAACTTTAAAAAGAATTTCGTTGGTAAACGTTGTGTACTTCAGCTTCGTGAATTGAATTTTCGAATTTGGAATTTTAAAGAAACTTATTCCGAAATTTGGAAACACAATTATACAACTTTGGCAAAAATGAGAAAAAGAATTGTCAAAATTTGACACGTCATAAGATTACTATTCAAAAAAACACGTGAAATCAGAAAAGGCCAACTTCAAGTTAGGACAGAAGGACAGACCAAGCATTTTATTATTATATAATTTACCTAACCAAGCAGACGCAAACATTTGCAGCTGCTTGCTACGAAATTTCCCCTTCAAAACCTACATGGATAGTATGCGCAGAATTCGTAAATTCGTTCTATTAGCAGTGCACGAACTTAAACGACACGCCCACCGTGTGCACGCTTACCATGCCACTACTCACTGCGGTAAAGCGTGGAAGTTTCACCTCCTGGTTCTAGTCTTCTTGGACTGTAGCTATTTTATTCGCTGCAGACACGGAAACACGGTGGCGCCTCTAGTGGCAAAGTGGCGCATTTTTCGTTGGATACTTGTCAAATGTTTACATTAGAAAAAAGTGACATTTAATTGTTTCTGACGATTAAATCTATTTGTGATATACTACGGCGACCAAATTTATAAACTATTAAGATGTACATGAAACATAAGTAACTTTTCGATTTGAGTCAAGCTGGAAAAAATATTTTAGGTTGCATTTTTTATGGAGGGTGGTGAAAATGGCTATTAACATAAACAAAAAAAATTATTAAAAATTAATTTCAAGTAATTTTGAAAGATCAAGTTATATGCACTTTTTGGAAAAAATTATTTTCAATTAAAATCTTTTATTAGATAATTATTTCTTTACAAATTTGAACTTTTTTCTGAACTGAAAAAATTGCAGTGTTTATCAAACTTTAGAACCAAAAGTTTTTGTTATTTAGTGAAACAATTCTCTTCAATCGTAATTTTTTTTAAAGTGTTAAAAATATGTTGTAAAAAAATTAATTATGAAGTAAAATTTGAATTGTTTACAATTTTTTAATATAATTAAAAAAATATTTCGATTTTAAAGAAAGTTTTTCTAAATTTAAACTATTTATAAAAAAAAAATAGATAAAAAATTCGACTTTTGTTTATTCTGAAAAAATAGCAAATGTTAAAAAATAATTACTTAACATAATTTTATCCGAAATATTTCTAACTAAATCTTTAAAAATAGGTTATATTTAGTTTAGGTTTGCATTAAAAATTATTTTTTAATTTTGAGGTTATGTTATATCCTACATTCTCTTTAATTATTTGTTTTAATAAATTATTTTGGTTCATATGTGTAAATGGAATTTTAAAAATCAATATATATATTTTTTAAAATAAAAAAACTACCATTAAATTAACTGAATAAGGAGGAGAATTGACAGACGTTTGACGAATCACACTTGCTTTAATTGCTTCACTGATTCCATTAACTCTAAATTCTTCCACCCTGACAATGTGAATCATCGCTAAAGCCATCCCTTTTTTAATTGTTTCTGGGCGAAATTCAATTTCATGGTTTATTGAAGCAAACCCCGTTTTTATTATAACATTCATATTATTTACATTGATTACTATTGATCTGTCATTATCGTTGTCCAACGAAAATTGCCTAATTTCGCCACATGGAGCGCTGATAGTCATATGTTCCCCGCGTAAAATAATATTGTTCATCAAAGAATATGTAAAACGCATGAATTATCTCAAAAAAGATTTGTAAAATGTAAAATTTTTTTATTAATTTTCCGTAAATATTTAGAAATTTACCCATAATGCATTGGAAAAAATAGTACTTAATCAAAAAAAAAAAAAAAAACCATGTGCTTATTTGTTTCATGTTTTTCTGATCCAAAAAATTTTACTAGTTTGAAAAAAGAATTTTTTTTGGGCTAAGAAAATTAGTAAGTCAAATACGAACATGGGTTTCTTTACACTATGATTCTAAATAATAATTATTAGTTATCTAAATCGGAATTTAAAAAAAAAATAGAAACTTTAATTCCGAGACTTAAAAATTATAAAGGAACAAATAAAAATTTCTGATAAAAACTAAACGAACACTAATTATACAATATATGAATTTAAGTATCGAAAAGAAAAATTACGATTTTAGAGATTATTATTTATGCGATCCTTGTGTGTCAGCGATTGTGAAAAATTTTCGAAAATATTTCGAAAGCTGCAATGATAATTTTTTATTACTTTTTTTGAGAATTTCGAAATATTTAAGAAAAAATTTTTCTTTAATATTTCTTTTTAGTAAAAAATTTTAAATTATTATCAGAGATTAAAACCTAAATTAAATATATTTTGACAAAAATTCTGATGATAATTTTTCGATTATCAATATTTAGTAATTTATCTAATTTAAAATTTGTCAAAACTGATATGTTTGAATAATAAATATTTAACAAAAAAAAGTACCAAAATTAGAAATCGAGAAAATGAAAAAATTGTACACCTTCAAAAACTATAGTTTTAATATTGAAAAGACTCAGATGACTGGTACATATATATATTTGATGTAGTAATTAAATAATTTACGTGATTTTAGTTTTTAGTACATATTAAGGTTTAGTCTCGAATTTTAATGTTATCGTTGGTTTTATTTATAATATACTATATAGATCTGCTATTGCAGAAAATTGTAACATTTTTTCTATGAATCATCCTTTTTTATAACTTTTTCAAATAAAAATTTCGCCAACGAGACCGAAAATTGTTTCTTAGAGGTAATTTTACATAAATCAGTTAGCCAGCAATTTACCTGAAATATATATTTATATACAATAAGTGAATTATTTTGATTGAAATGAAAATGTTGGCGCAATATCTAGATATTTTATAAGTAAATTTAAAATGAATAAATAAATTAAATAAATAAACAAAAATTAAATAATCTTTTTATTTATAACTTTTTATGTAATTCTGTATAGGGGAATGTAGTCATGAGTGGACAACGTTTTGTTTTTCCTTTATAACTTTTTTTTGAAGTAAATAATTAGTGATTTGTATTTATACAAACATCAAATGTATGCAATTGCGAAAAACTTAAGTGGTGAAGATCAACAGAGTGATCAACTTATGAAAATACTGGTCCAATCATAACTATATTCCCCTAAATAAAAGATTTTTATTGTTGTTTTATGTGCATGTTGCCGCACTCAATGTTTAGATTGAGAACCCATGCACGAGGGAAGGGAGAAGCGCGCAATGATTGGTCGCTCTCCATCGTTAGCAGAGTTCTCAACTTGAACATCAAGGAATGTGTAATTCTTAGAATTATATCGCAAATTTCTTGAAAATATCGTTATGAAAGTTGGTTTGGTTAGTATATATGGTAATAAGAAATGTAACACAAAACAGAAGGATTATTACCGAATTTGGTTTCCCCTTTAAAAATCGTGACAATTGTCCCGGAGTGATATTTAAAATTAAACATGCAGTTTCATGAGCCTCTCTCTCGCTTTCTTCATTGTAATTTATATAGTCACTATCATTTTCACAGTAATATTTGTAAATTTGTTGTAGAAATTCCTAAAATAAGAGAAAAATCTAAAATATAAGTAATTTTTTTTAACAAATTCTAAAATCTAAAAAAAAATTAAAGATAATATTTTAACATCAGATTCTTAAATTGCAAGAAGGTTAATAATAGTTTGAGTTATTATTTAAAAATATTATTTTTACTTTAATGGCAGAATCATATTCAATTCTACAATTTTCTAAAACTTCGACTTTTAATTTCATGTCGACCAGAACTTGATCAATTTTTAATTCTATTCTTTCTGCTTCTTTTTGATTTAATTTATCATTTTGCAAAACCACTTTATATTGCTGAAAATTAATAACAATTAATGAAAATTATATACAAAAAATTCTAGGATTAACATGATAATATTTAAATGTAATTACACCGTTTGACAAAATTTAACTTTTTTTCACACACGAAAATGTCAATGATTTTTGGAAACTAGAGCCAAAAAAATACGGTCTGTCTGACGGTGTTATATTATATATATATATAAAAAAATTAGGAATATTATATTTTTAATACCTTCTCGTGAATATCAGCTTCAGATTTTTCTGATCCGGAAACTAATTTTTCCTTCTCAATATCCAACAAAGAAATCTGTAATTACGGATATAGGATTCAAAATAAAAAAAAGATTAAGGAAGAGCAAAAATATTTTTTTTTAAATTTCAATTATAAAATGTGAAAGTAATTTGGCATTTATCGTTTTTTATATACCTTTGCTTTAAGTTTCGCGTTTTTGGATCGTAGAGAATTATTTTCGCTCTCTAATACTTCACTTTTCTTTGAACATTGATCATGTTCTTTCGTAATTTCTACTAATTGATTCTTGTAACTATTTAATAAGACACCTTTATTGATGTTTGCTGACTCAGAACGATGAAGTCTAAAAAATAATTTTTTCTTTTTTTAATTTTCATTCTATTATAAAAAGGTCATACCCATAACGCATAACGCGTAACGCTTTTCCGGGATCCTAATACAAAAAGGTTTAACCAAAGCGTTCTGCGTTACGCTGATTAGTAAAACTAATAAAATCAATTAGTCGAATGTAGTATCAATATAAAATGTCATATATAAAACATCACTATACTACTGTTTTAATTATACAAAATAATTTAATGATTAAAAATAATAATTAGCGCGCTAAAGCACGCAAAAATCTGGTGCAGTAAATTATTAAATTAATAAGTTACTTTTTGAAACAAGAGGGAAGGACTTTTTTCCTTTTCCAGAAGAAAACAACAAAATTTCCTCTATATTGGTTTGCAATTTTGAATTTTTTAAATTTTACCTCAAATTTAGATTCAGCGACCCCAAAAAATCCCGAGTACAAAATTTTAAACGAAACAAATCAATTTAAAATTATTCTGCCATATTGGGTCCGCCATTTTGAAATTTTTTAATCTGAACTCAAATTCGGATTCAGCGAGTTAGTAATCGAAAACATAAGAAATTCTGGTATAAACAGCGCAATATAAACTATTTTGGAATAAAGGATTTTTTATAAAACAATTGCAATGTTTGGAAATGGATAACAGTGGTTGGATTTATAAAAAAAAAAAAAAAAAAAATTTATAATTTTATGAGTAAGTTACTGTAATTTGTGTTAATTTAAGGTGGTTTAAACAGAGATAATACATAGTTGCTCATGTTTTCTCAAAATAAAGTAATTTTGCCCTGCATTTTACCCATTTTTCATCCGTTCTTGTCTTTTTTGTACTTTTTTTAAAAAAAGAGGTATAAGTTTTTTGTTTTAATCGCTATTAAAAATTGTCAGAGGAAAAAAGTGTTTATTTTTACTCGTATTTTTCGAAAAAAAATTGAAAAATTCTTTTTTTTGCAAAATGCGAATTTTAAGAATTTTTAAAAGCTTAAAATTTGAATAATTTTGTTGATTTTTGACGAAATCATCTGGCCAACGAACTCAAGCGAGATTTTGGTACACATAAAGTGTATACCAAATTTGAAGTCGATTCATTAAAATTTGTTCCAATTATCGTCAGACCAAATTTTGTCTACAGACATAAAGACATACATACAGACAGACATTTTTTTAAAACCCATTTTTTAGGCCTCAGAAAGTCTCAAAACGTCGAGATTCACTGAATAGAGAGGGCTCAAAATCGCCTAAATGTAATACCTTCTCATTATGATGAGAATGTAATAATAGCTTCCTCCACGAGCAAGCAATAGAGTCTTGCTGATTAATTTTATTTGAATTGGTAAGGAATTTCTTCATTTTCCAGGAAAACATTCTATTCAAAAAAATGGAATAAAATTGATACATCTTAGTCTAGTGCAATTTAGGTTCAATTAGTAGGTTTTTTTGAAGGTATTACGTGTTGTTTTAAGGTAAAAAAATAATAGAGACATGCTGATTAATTTTGTTTGAATTGGTAAGGAATTTCTTCATTTTCCAGGAAAACATTCTATTCAAAAAAATGGAATAAAATTGATTATTCTTAGTCTAGTGCAATTTGGGTTCAATTGGTAGGTTTTTTTGAAGGTATTACGTGTTGTTTTAAGGTAAAAAAATAATAGAGACATGCTGATTAATTTTGTTTGAATTGGTAAGGAATTTCTTCATTTTCCAGGAAAACATTCTATTCAAAAAAATGGAATAAAATTGATTATTCTTAGTCTAGTGCAATTTGGGTTCAATTGGTAGGTTTTTTTGAAGGTATTACGTGTTGTTTTAAGGTAAAAAAATAATAGAGACATGCTGATTAATTTTGTTTGAATTGGTAAGGAATTTCTTCATTTTCCAGGAAAACATTCTATTCAAAAAAATGGAATAAAATTGATTATTCTTAGTCTAGTGCAATTTGGGTTCAATTGGTAGGTTTTTTTGAAGGTATTACGTGTTGTTTTAAGGTAAAAAAATAATAGAGACATGCTGATTAATTTTATTTGAATTGGTAAGGAATTTCTTCATTTTCCAGGAAAACATTCTATTCAAAAAAATGGAATAAAATTGATTATTCTTAGTCTAGTGCAATTTGGGTTCAATTGGTAGGTTTTTTTGAAGGTATTACGTGTTGTTTTAAGGTAAAAAAATAATAGAGACATGCTGATTAATTTTATTTGAATTGGTAAGGAATTTCTTCATTTTCCAGGAAAACATTCTATTCAAAAAAATGGAATAAAATTGATTATTCTTAGTCTAGTGCAATTTGGGTTCAATTGGTAGGTTTTTTTGAAGGTATTACGTGTTGTTTTAAGGTAAAAAAATAATAGAGACATGCTGATTAATTTCATTTGAATTGGTAAGGAATTTGTTCATTTTCCAGGAAAACATTCTATTCAAAAAAATGGAATAAAATTGATTATTCTTAGTCTAGTGCAATTTGGGTTTAATTAGTAGGTTTTTTTGAAGGTATTTCGTGTTGTTTTAAGAGCATTTGAACCTTTGTGACGTCACAAATCATGGCGCATTACACGCAAACTTCTCAGGTATGTGAAAAGCACAATTTTGAATATTTTTTAAAAAAACCTTTTGGAAAATGTTTAGAATAACATAGACTCTGTCTGTTATGTGCGGAAAATTCAAAATTTTGCGTTTAAACCTTTTTTAAACAATGTTTAAGTTGGTTGTCACAAGTAAGGAAAAATACATGAATTGCTTATATGTAGGCCATTTTTGGAATGACCAGGATAAAAATTTGAAAATTCTTATGTAATTTATCAAATATTTAAATTAATTTTTTTATAATAAATATCAATTAAAATTGTTTATTACTAATTAAGCAATAAATTGTTGTTGTTTATTTCCTTTTTTTAAAAATCACATATAAACCTTTTTTACAACATTGAGATGAGTAATTTATAAAATTCTCAAAAAATTGCTTTTTTATATGTGCTTTTTGAAAAAAGTACATAAAAAAACAATAATTTTTGATTTAAAAAATTGAAAACTAATTCAATTTTTAAATATTACGTTTCACAATTTTTAAATTGGTAAATTTCAAAATTAGAAAAAAATGTTTTTTCAGAGATTTCTTGAATAAAACATAAGAAGTATTAAGGGGACTTTCTGGTTTAGAATTTCAAAAAAATCGATTTCTTTTTTTTTTGCTTAAAAATGTTCCATAGTATCATAGAATTACTGTCCCAAAACGTTTTTTAAAAATATGTACAAAAACAAAAGTTATAACAATATTTATGACGGTATGTATTTCAACAACAATCTACAGTTATCTTATTTACATATTTGCTGTTCCTCTTTTATTGATATTAGCTTGAAACATGTTACTCGAGGGTTTTTGGGGTCGCTGACTACGAATTTGATGTCAGTTTTTGAAAATACAAAATGGCGGATCCAATATGGCGGACGAAAAAATAAAAATTCAACCGGATTTGCTTAAAACTTGTTACTCGGGGGTTTTTGGGGTCGCTGATTACGAATTTGATGTCAGTTTTTGAAAATACAAAATGGCGGATCCAATATGGCGGACGAAAAAATAAAAATTCAACCGGATTTGCTTAAAACTTGTTACTCGGGGGTTTTTGGGGTCGCTGATTACGAATTTGATGTCAGTTTTTGAAAATACAAAATGGCGGATCTAATATGGCGGACAAAGATTAAGAAATTAATTAAATTTAGTTGAAAATGGTTACTTGTGGCCTTTTGAGATTGCTAGTTATGAATATAGGCACAAAACATTATCGTTCTAGGAACATCAAATTCGTAATCAGCGACCCCAAAAACCCCCGAGTAACAAGTTTTAAGCAAATTCGGTTCAATTTTTATTTTTTTTGTCCGCCATATTAGATCCGCCATTTTGTATTTTCAAAAACTGACATCAAATTCGTAATCAGCGACCCTAAAACCCCCGAGTAGCAAGTTTTAAGCAAATCCGGTTGAATTTTTATTTTTTCGTCCGCCATATTGGATCCGCCATTTTGAATTTTCCAAAACGGACATCAAATTCGTAATCAGCGACCCTAAAAACAGCGGGATACGAAGTTCTGTTGTAATAAAAAGTTGTTTGATATTCATGACTCAATGAACTATGTTATAAAAACTTTGAACGCGTTTTTCTCGAAAACTCATTTTTCAAACTGGTACAGAGCTTTTCTCGAAATCTACCGAACCGATTTTGAAATCCCAAAAATTTTTCGATTCTTTATTTAAAAAACTGGGGCCTAAACCTCTAAAAACTCATATTTCTACCCCCTGTGTTTTTATATGGAGGTAAATTGACCCAAAAACACGGCGTTTTTGTGAGTTTTTGAGAAAAATGTACATAAAAAATAAAAAAACCTTAAAAAAAATCGTTTTTGAGGTTTAGGCCCTAGAATAAATCCTTATGAAGAGATTCCCGTTTGGAACTTGAATTTATGTATTACAGGTTGCCCGGAAACTAACGTACCAAAAAAAAGGTATCTTTTGGAAGACGCCACCTACAGCTATGAAATTGAACTAAATACACTCAAACATATTTTTTTAAATTTTCTCTACGCAATGTGCTACAATGTCCAAAAATAGTTTTTACAATTTCTTTAATACTGTTCTTACAATAAAAGTTTTAAAACCTTCCTTTTTTGTCAATTCTAAACCAGAAAGTCCCCTTAAATAATTATTTATTTAAAAAATTGAAGAATAATTTTATTTTTAAACAAATTTTTTTCACAACTTTGAAATTTGCAAATAGCAAAATTAGGAAAAAACTGCATTTTTGTATGTTTTTTTTAAAAAAAAGTAAATAAACAACAATTTATTGTTTAATTAGTAATAAACAATTTTAATTATTATTTATAATAAAATTAATTTATCCTGGTCTTTCTAAAAATGGCCTACATATAAGCAATTCGTGTCATGCGCCATGATTTGTGACGTCACGAAGGTTCAAATGCTCTTAAAGAAATGAGAAAATACATACAAGTATATACTATAACATATACCTAAAAAAGTGTTAAAATTGATTTAATTATATTATATCGCATTTACTTGTTTCGAAGTGCAATTATAGTGGAATTGTCTTTTTCAACTTTTTTCTTTAAATTATTTAATTCTCGACATTTTTGAAGATCATTAAAACGTGTATTGTTATATTGTTCATGATGATCAGCAATTTCCAAACATTTTTTTGTATCTTCGAATTTTTTTCGAAGACTTGTATTTTCACTAATAAGATTATTTAAATTTCGATCTGTAGTGGCAAGTTCTTTTTTCAATTTTGAAAAACAAATTTTTAAATTTTCATACTTGTGATTTTTGTCAACTAGTATTTTTCGATTTTTTGTTAATTCATTTTTTGCTCTGTTTAATTTGATGACGGTATTTCGAAGCTGAAATATGAATTATTATTTAATTTTAAGATTGCAATGTTTTGATTTTTTTGTTGGTGAAATTTATATTTTATTATTAAAAAATAGGATCAAAAAATAGTAAATCAGAATGAAAAGTTTTGTTTATTTTTTTTTTCGAAAATTTAGTTTTGAATAATGGTCAAGTATAATAACTTTGTTATGCAATCCCTTGGAAAATTTTCCAAAAATTCTCAGCTGTTTTTTATATTTGTCTTTCTTTTTTCCCGTTAAAGCATTTGGTCCAAATTTTTGACAAGTGAAAGCACAAATATCAATAATCCGTGCTTGAAGAAGATCATTTTTTTCTTTTGCTTCTTCTTCGATACGCTTTAAATCTCTACAAAAATATTGTACTTTTTTGTTAAATTAAATAGTAATAAAATTGAAAAAAAAATTTTTTTAATAAAAGTAAATCAATAATAATTTAAATGAATGAAAGTTACTTTTCAAATTTCTCTTTCTGATCGTATTTTTCCTTTAAAGCTTTCTCAACAGAATTTTTTGAATTTCTCAATTCATCTTTCAATTCGGAAATAATTTCTTTATATTTGGGTTTTGACGAAATATTTTTTTCTACTTTCATTGGAATAGTATAACTATCTTCTGTAAACTAAATTTATATATTTTTAAGTAATTTTTGTTTTTTTTATTAAATATATAAATATTTTATATTAAAAAAAAAAAAAAATTTATTTTAATATTAATTTCTTAGGAAATTTTTTATTTTTGAACCGTGTTATCATTTTTCAATGCCTCATCAATTAACCACTGGGGTGGATCATCTTCAACAGTAGTTGCATGTGATTCTGAATTCAAATATTTGGCTAATTTATTTTTATTGTTAATTTCATCTTCTTTTATTTCTTTAGTGCTCGTTATATTTGAAAATGGCTCACCACTTGCTTTATTAGCAATATTTCTGTTAACTAAAATTTTTTTTTTCTTATTAAAAACATCGATAAAATAGAATTCTGTTATTAAAATAATTAAAATTATATTTGAATAGTTTTATTTTTTTTTATTTTTAATTATTCTTAGATGTGCTATATTGATGACATTTCAGCAATTATTTATATAAAATTTTAAAATGTATATGTAAAAATAATCATTTATCACTGGAGACTGTATATCGTATGTCGGTAAAAGGAGAATGAAATACTGAGAGTAGTCGACGGTTTTAAGGAATAGTCGCTCTATCATCTACTGCCACCTACTTTCAATTTTTAGAATTAAAAAACAAGTTGTGAAATTTATTCTTTTAAAAGGTTAACAAAAAACATTTTTCTTTGCATATATATATTGTTTAAAAAAACATTTCAAATTTTTAAAATATTCTCCAATTTTATTTTTTGTATATTATTATCGAAATACAGAAATTTTCTAATCAAATAGTATAAAATTCATATAAAAGTCGTTACTTTTTTAATTTGAATCAGTGAAGTTCACTGCTAATCAGTAATTTGCATTGAAATTCACTGATTCAAATCTGTTTTACCGACTGCAGACATAACCTATAAATTTCTTTTTTGGCAAGGTTCAATTCGTATTTGTCGCTAAGCAAAATTCAGTGAAGCTCTTTGTATATTCAATTCAATTCGTATAAATGAGCTTTCATCGGTTGAGAATTTAAACAAAATGACCAACTCGTCTATTGAATTTGAGCTGACGAATGGAAAAAAAATTAAAGCTCAAAATTTTGTTCATTGAATTAGCACGAATAGAGAGTTTGGAAGTTGAATACACAGCTTTGTCGAATTCAGAAGAATTGCAACATAGCTCCAATTCGAATTTTTCGCTAAGCGGGATTCATTGAAGCCCATAGGGTGTATTCATTTCAATTCAACTGAATTAGTTTTCATTTGCTGGGTTTACTAAAAATTGTTTTTTATTTAGCACCATTGAAAGATACGTATGGTTTTTAATTAAACCAACTGAGGTTATATTTTCCATTGTCCCTACTCACCAAAGTTCCATCTTGCCATTTGTTATAACTACCGATAATTAACAACTACCGCACCCTGCTCTAGTGAAACTTTAGTGACTTTATTGTTAAAATTAAAAATTACTAAATTTTCACTAGAGCAGGGTGAGGTAGTTGACGAGAATTTATGACAATCGGCGAGTTGAGACAATGGAAACCAACCTTGAACATGTGTCAAAAGCAAGTGAACACAGTATTGCCAACTTATGTCAGAATTCTATAAATGTCCCTATATGTAGTAATTTTAGGAAGGTTGCCAATTGTCCCCACTCGCCATTTGTCATATAATTCTCGTCAACTATCGCACTCTGTTCTAATGAAAATTTAGTGACTTTATAGTAACTTTTAATTTTAACGCAGTTACACTAAATTTTCACTAGAGCAGGGTGCGGTAGTTGACGAGAATTATAACAAATGGCAAGATATGGGACTTTGGTGAGTGGGGACAATGGCAACTTTTCTTTAGGAAATTTATTAATACCAACATTAATATGAAAATAATCACAACCGATGCAGTGTTTACAAACGGTACTTCTATACTGAATTTCAGTAGATAAATTTTACTGAACTGTTGATAAATTTCAACTATTTCGCTAGTAAAATTTCTAGAGAGCCACCCACAACACAAAAGACGAAGACGCAATCGTCAAAAAAAAAAAAAAAAAAAAAATTATCGATGAGATTGTCTGCAATCAATTTTCTGAATTATCGAGGTTGCGACCGCGCAGGTCGATATATATAGGTATCGGACATTATTGGACCATATGGAATTTGGGTCCGAAAACTAGTTCTGTACAGGAAATTGCTAACGACTTAAACGCCGGGGCGGTACCAAGGACCCTATAGGTCCCATGGACCATGTGATGGATGGACTCTGGCACTCTGTAATTTTGAGGCGTTACGTGTGTATCCCTCTAAATAACACGTATATATATATATATATGTAGGTTTGATATCTTCTCTCCTATGACGTTTTCTCGTCTTTTTCACATCCTTTTTACTCGTCATTTTGTAATTTACTTTGTTTTATAAGGGAGAAATTAATTTTTGAATTAAAAACAAAATTGCATAAATAAATTTCTTTTTCCGATGGATGAAGAAAATGTTACATAGAATTTCCGTTCAACGAAAGACTTTTTGTTGAACAGAACATTTTGGATTAGATACAAAATTTGTAAAAAAAATCTTGAAAAGACATAGTAAATTTAAGAATTCTTTTTTATACAGTGTCCAAAATATATATTTGGACTTTGATTTAATAAAGTTTCGTTAGTTAGAAATTAATTAATGGCAAATAACTTCAGTTAATTGCAAAATTTTCAACATTTGAACTGGACGCGCGCGTATAGTAATGTTTGATTTTCCAATTACCAAAATGCAGGATCAAAATGAGAAATCTCACCATTATATTTGTAGCACTTTACGGTTCATTTCATTTCAATTAATCGTTACAAACTCTGAATTTTCGAACAAACATAAAATATATATTCAATGTATATGGTTGTACAAGCTTATAAATTCCTAGTAAATTTTTACGACAAAAAAAATAACATTTTTTTTTTTTAAATATCCGATTATACATTTTTAAAAACAAGTCTTTTAAGCTGTGCCAAAAAAAAGGGAATATAGACGAAAATTTTGCGTGAAATAAAGTCAAACAAACATATTGCTTTTACGTATTGTAAATAAATGTTTTTAAAAATACAATATAGATTGAAAATAATTTTAAAATATATAGGAAGTAGAATTTATCTATTTTCTAAATACCACACAGGATTCAAATCAATCATTAATTGGAAAAAAAAATTGTTTGAAAGATCTCTAATATGAAATTTCAGTGAAGTAAATATATATCGCGGAAAGAAACACTTCTTGATTCGAGAACTTTTCTCAGGAGTGTATATATATATAAATTCGACGTAAAAGATATTTATGACTGTTATTTCTTTAAGTGCATTTGATATTGAGAATGTATATATATATATACACTAAACGCGGTTTCATATAGCCACGATCGGTCCCCTGGTAACGTGGAATTATTGTAGATAATACACGGATAGTTAGTCCGCGATTAGTCTGTCTAAAGGATGATATTCCTCTCCTTTTCATTCCCGTATGCCCTTAAGGCACCCTACTAGGACGCCGTCATGATAAATGACCGAATCCTTTAGACAGTTTTTTTTTGTTTTAACTATATACATATATATATATATATACGAATACGACGAGACCGCATGGTTCTGATCGTCTTGGGCGAAGGTCGCAGCCACAATTTTGCCGTAAATCACAGTAAACGTTGACGTAAACGCCAGGGTAATTAGATACACTTACCAGAGGTAACCTGTACTTCTTGCGCGTCCTCCTGGTCCATTTTCTTCTCAGCCTTCTGTTTCTGAAAAGAAAATAAAAAAACATTCGTTTAATAATTTTATAATTAGTCCTTTAATATAATGTTAGAATCTATATGATGTTTTTTGGTAATCATTATTTATTACATCTATTTCAATTATTATTTTTTATATGTGATCTGGATTTTTTTTTACTTTTCTGCGATTATTCTCATAGAAAAAAGTACGTTTCTTTCTAAATTTGATGAAATTTTTCAAAATTTCTCCCCCATATTGAATCAGACATTTTGAATTTTGAAAATCTGATGTCAAATTCGTAATCAGCGCCCCCAAAAACCCCTGAGTAATAAGATTCCACGTAAATTGATAAAATTTTTCAAAAAAGTGCGCCATATTGGATCCGCCATTTTAAATTTTGAAAATCTGATATCAAATTCGTAATCAGCGCCCCCGAAAACCTCTGAGTATTAAAATTCAATCCATTTTGATAAAATTTGTCAAAAATGTCCGCCATATTGGATCCGCCATTTTGAATTTTGAATATCTGATGTCAAATTCGTAATCAGCGCCCCCGAAAACCTCTGAGTATTAAAATTCAATCCATTTTGATAAAATTTGTCAAAAATGTCCGCCATATTGGATCCGCCATTTTGAATTTTAAATATCTGATGTCAAATTCGTAATCAGCGCCCCCAAAAACCCCTGAGTAATAAGATTGCACGTAAGTTGATAAAATTTTTCAAAAAAGTGCGCCATATTGGATCAGCTATTTTAAATATTGAAAATCTGATATCAAATTCGTAATCAGCGCCCCCGAAAACCTCTGAGTATTAAAATTCAATCCATTTTGATAAAATTTGTCAAAAATGTTCGCCATATTGGATCCGCCATTTTGAATTTTGAAAATCGGACATCAAATTCGTAGTCAGCGCCCCCGAAAACCCCTGGGTAAAAAAGTTTTAGCCATTTTGATAAAATTTTTCAAAAATGGCCGCCATATTATATCTGCCATTTTGAATTTTGAAAATCTCTCATTAGATTCGTAATCAGCGACACCAAAAGCCCTTGAGTGATGAGTTTCAAGTAAATCTGAACAATTTTTTAATTTTTTCTGCCATCTTGGATTTGACATTTTGAATATTGAAAATCTGATGTCAAATTCGTTATCAGCGACCCCGAAAACCCTTGAGTAACAATTTTTAAGCAAATTGCATTAGTAGTTTGCCATATTATATCCGCCATTTTGAATTTTGAAAAAACTAATATCAGATTCGTAATTATGCAATTTCATTTTGACTTTCACTTCGGGTTTGATCTTGACTTTGAATTTTACTTTCATTTTTAGGGTTTCGTTGCCCAACCCCGAAATCCTTAAATGTTAAAGAATTTTTTTTTAACTCGAAATTTTTTAATTTTCTGAATAGAAAAAAATTACCCTTTTTTTAATTCTTGAGGCATATTGATAAATTTCCATTACATTTTTTTTTATAAAAAAAAATCTCAAATAAAATTTACAAGAGGAAAATATGATAATTATCTAGGGAAAATTTGCTTGAAATACAACACCCATAAATAATTTCATTATCCTTTAACAAAATTTTCTTTTTCATATTATATATATATATATATATATATATATATATATATATATATATATATATATATATATATATATAAGGGTTTTTGATGAAGAAAACAACGTATCGATATTTAATTATATATTTAAATTAAAATTTTGTTTTCATACAGAAATTGTAAAATAAAATCATCATTAAAATTTCATTGTTAAAATAAAAAATCACTGCAATATTTTGATTTTTTAATAACGGCTTTTTATACAAGGCTAATAAAGTATATAAATTATCAAAAAAAAAGTTATGCGATTTTTCTTTTGCATCAAAAACCCCTTTTACAAATCACATAGAAAGGAAAAATGAAATAAGCTCTGCAGGTTATTATCTCATCAGTTAGTTTTTATAAATTTAAATCAATTTTCAGTAGAGGAAATTTTTTTTAATTTAAAAAACCTTAACGAAATAATATGTCTTTGACTACAGATATGAACTTCACAAAGAAATCTTTAATCCCTTTTCCTCGTTGTACCATAATATTTAATAAATGAATAACTGAATAAAGAAGTCGTTAAAGTTCCATGACGTCTTTAATATTAAAAGTAAGGGCCAAAGGGGGAACTTGCCAACATCATGAAAGAAATAAGCGAGCGCGCGGATCATCTCAACAGAGCAAATGAACTGAGAGTAAACGTCGTTAAGATAATGTCTTGGTCGCGTAAAATTAGCTTTTTTAATATCGGACAGTCGTGTACTTCCGTCCTTTTACTTATATAGATATATATATATATATATATATATATTTTTTTTTTTTGCAGGACCCTCAGAAATGTTGTTGTCTGAGGCTAAAAGGATTCGGCGATAAACAACAGTGAGTCTTGAAATTAGGTATACCAGAGGGCTTTGCAATTTACATAAAAATCCCCCGCGGTGGTATTGCGTTCACAAACCTAGGGTGGCCGATGGATTAGCAATGTTCTGTACAAGGAGAAAAAAAAAGAAAGTGAAATTTCACACGACGATTCTCTTATACATATATATATTTAATATTCGCCCCAATGCACGGTTTCTTTTAATTTTTGATATTGGTCATAAAAATAATTATTTCTGATTTTACTATTTACCCTCATAACAAAAGGATATCCCTAGGATATCCATATCAATGGTCGATATCCTAGAATGGTCCCCAGGATATATTGGGATATCTATAGGATATCCCTAGGATATCCAAACCGCCGGTATGTGGGACATCCATAGGATATCCACAGGATATCCCTAAGACATCCACAAAATATCTATTGGATATTATATCGCAGGATAGCCATGGGATATCCTCAGAATGTCCGTGGGATATTCTTAGGATATTCACGGGATATTTAATATCTCAACATATATTTTTAAAGGTTAAAATTGTTAAGCTAATATAATGAATAATAATATAATAAAAACAAAAATCTTATGAGCTTCTAATTTATTTTAAATGAAGATTTGAAACGCATTTTTCAAAGTTTTTAAATAAACTCATGCACTTAATTTATAATTAATATTAATAGTTATTCGTTATTTGCGGGGAAGAATTTATATTGTTTAAAGCCAATTTATTTTCTGACAATATTAACCATATGAATAAAGGAATGAATCACGAATGAGAAAAAAATTAGTTAATAATTTTTCAAATTAAACAACTTTTTTGAAAAACAAGTTGCATTTTATTTTATTTATATAAAATTTAATTCACAGAATATTCTCATTCGTACAGTCTCATAATGACTTTAAAAACAGTATTCTGAGAATATCTTCTTGACATCCAGAAGATATACTGAGAATATCCTGAAAATATCTGTGGGATATCTACGGGATATCTGGAGGACATTTATGAAAGTCTATAGAGATATCCAGAAGATATCCTGTGGATATCCTCAGATATCCATGGGATATCCAAAGGATATCCAAACCGCCGATTTTTTGGATATCCTTAAGAGATCCTTTTGATATCCATAGGACATCCCTAGGATATCTGCGGGATATTATCAATATATCCCAAGATATCTTGTGTTATTAGGGTATTATTTATACTGATTTCTTGTAGATATCAAATTGATATCGTAAATCATTTTTTTGAAAATAATCCATAAATTGGAAACAGTTTTTGATACTTAAATTAGTATCAAAATATATAACTGTCATGCTCTTATTGACAAATTTATTAATAAATTTCTTCCCTGCACTGAATTTTTAAGTATTAAAATTGATTTTATTATGAATTTTAAGAAAAAGAAAAGCGAAAATTACTTATGGGTGATAAATAGGGTAAAGGGTATATGGTGACAATTAAAAAACACTTTGATAAGAATTTATAATATTAATTTAAAAATGTATGCAGTATGAAAACAGTGAATGACACCCTTTAATAAAATTATAAAATTTTAAACTACTATTTAAGTATAACATGATATTTATTAATATTATCACAAATTTTATTATTCAGATTTAATGTATAAAACAAGTTGCCTTTAAAATATAATTATTTAAAAATTTCTTCATATTTATAAAATTTGTAATCAATAGAGCAAATTTTTTGAGGTTAGTTTTCTTGAAAATAAAATGATGAGAAAAATTTAAACATATAAAATTTTGTGTCAACTTTATCAGTTTCTAAATATTGTATATTAATTAATTTACTAGTGATATTTAATTCAATATTATTATTATTTTTATAGTTATTATCGTTTTTAATAGTAGATGTTCACCAATCATTTGTAAACAAACAGGTTTGGGAAGCGAGAACAAAAAATATGTTCGTCCAAAGCAAAGTTGGGTAGGATTGAAATTTTGTCCAACAATTATTTTCATTGTCCCCACTCGCCATTTGTCATAATACTCGTCGCACCCTCCTCTAGTGAAAATTTTGTAACTGTTAAAATTAAAAATTACTATAAAGTTACTAAATTTTCACTAGAGCAGTTAACGGTAGTTGACGAGAATAATGACAAATAGCGAATGGGGACAATGGCAACCAATCGAAAGTGTATTTAACTGTTTAGGCTGTGTTCACAATAATACAATACAGTTAAATACATTGAGGGACATAATCGTTTCTGTCCTTGTTTTACTCTCACGTTGCCATGGCAATACATGAATTAGAAAATAGGATATTTAAAAGAAGGCTTTTCAATAGTTGTTATTATAAATTGTCCTTAGATCAGCTGTGACTAACATAAATAATGGATAGTGCGCAGTAACTAAAGCGCATATTCCACATAACCTAAAAATTTTACAAAAACTTTCCAACAGATTTTGTCTGTTAATGGTTTATTCAACAACGAAAATTATAAAATGTAAATAAGTTTATACATAAAGGGTTAAAATTAATGAATGGAATTTGCGACGTTAAGGACGCTGTGCGACTTGAAGTATATATATAGTATAGTACTCTTATTGCGTTTCTTACGAAACAAATGGAATGCATAAGT